AGTATTTTTGCCACATACTTTGCATTGATGATGTTAATTTTATAATTATGTTTCATTAAAAGAAAGTAGAAACTAGTGGTGCAATAAATGTAGAGGCTACTTTCATTGTATAATTTGTGCTCTTTATATATAATGCAAAAGCTGGGAAATTCTCAGCTTTCTTGTTCAGGAGTAGGATCATTAATGGCTGAAGAACATGTGCTAAAACTCGTTCTGTGTCACCTGTGTACAGGTTCAGGCTGTTCACAGCTGCAGCAGCTGCTGAAGCGGGTGTGCTGGCAGATGGCTGACCTGGCTGCACCCACCTCCCTCATGGTTGTACGGTGAGCTATCAGCTTTTACCTCAGTATTTGAAAACTGCATTATCAGTGGTAGAAATACTTTTTTTCAGTGTTCTGCAATATTGCAAAGTAAATTTTGTTCTGCAGTTTGGATATACTTTCTGCAAATACACACTGGATCTAAACCCATGGCATATACAAATTTAGATGTTGGCAAACATTTTACATGCAATTTGAAAAAACGGGAGAAAACGGGACAGAGGAAAAGTGGTCGTTATAGCCAGATGGCAGGCTTATAGAGGTGGTCGCTTGGGCAAGTTTGACTGTAGTATAAATGTACAAACATATGATTTTCAAGAAATAAAAAAATGGGGTGGAACAGTGTAAGATGAAACTGCTAATTAGGAAAAAGTGATAATGGCTGAAAATGTCTGACAGTGTCCCTTCTTTTTCCCCTAGTTCCCTGTTTGACATTGTACTGGATTCCATCAACGCTAATGAGAAGGGTCGGGAGGAGAGCCGGCCTGTAGACAAGCCGTGCTCCGCAAACACCCTGCGTCTGCTTGAACTGGTGGAGGACCTGATGTCACAGGCTCCCATCAAGGCACCTGCACTGCACCTGCTCAGGAGTGGGTCAGTATTATAGTCACTGTTCTAGCCCTTCTGCTGGTGAGGCCAGTAGGACCAATGCCTCTAGATCAGTGTGGGTGGGTGGGTGGATGGATGGATGGATGGATGGATGGATGGATGGATGGATGGATGGATGGATGGATGGATGGATGGATGGATGGATGGATGAAAGGATGGATGGATGGTTGGATGGTTGGATGATGGATGGAAGGATGGATGGATGGATGGATGGATGGATGGATGGATGGATGGATGGATGGATGGATGGATAAAGGATGAATGGATGGATGGATAAAGGATGGATGGATGGATGGATGGATGGATGGATGGATGGATGGATGGATGGATGGATGGATGGATGGATGGATAAAGGATGAATGGATGGATGGATAAAGGATGGATGGATGGATGGATGGATGGATGGATGGATGGATGGATGGATGGATGGATGGATGGATGGATGGATGGATGGATGGATGAAGGAACGAACGGGAGTGGAGCTTTATTCATGTGTCTTGCTCTTAATGCACCCAGCCTGTGTGGGCTTAAAAGACACCAAAAGAAAATATAAATCAAGAACAGATCTACAGATTGACATAGCTAAAACTGAACAAAACTCTGACATGACTCTGACATGAGTATACTGTTATCAACTGTAACATTTTCCTTCCGTCCTTGTGTCCCTGCAGAGCCAAGTCTGATGAGAAGTACCTGGACCTGCTGTACTACCTGTGTCTGCTGATGAACGTGGTGTCTGACCAACAGAACCACCTCCAGGCGCAGGACTGTGTCGTGGTAGGTGGCTGCAAAATTATTTGTTTATTTGAATTCACCACGAGTCTGGAAGGGAGGACAAAACAGGTTCATTGACACCTTGACAAGTTGTCCTCCCCAACACAGAAAGTTATTCTCTATCCTGAGTCTCTTTTATGTTTACCAATTTAAAGGAAAACATATTGTTTTTGCTCAGTTTCTTCCTCTTCTTCTCCAAACCAAAAAGGTCAATGGCTTGAACCAGACAGTCTATCACCATGGTAACTAGTGTTGGGTTACATCATGTTGCAAATTTATATCAGGACTGACTTGGACTCCTGTCACTATTATATGAATGTGTTTGAGTAAGAATTAACAGAGCAGACTACTAGTATATGCAAAGGTAAATATTATGCATTTACTTCAAAAATGTTACCTTTTTGTTTTATATTATATTTTTAATTCAACTTTGTTGAAGATGGTCAAAAAACAAGATGCTCATGGATAAGTGTCTCTTCAAACAAATAAATACAAATGTGAAACAACTACATGTACATTGGTTAGGAACACAAATTTCCACTTTCATTAGAGATGCAAGATGGATGGTGTAAAACACTTCTTTTATTGTCTGTCCAGTCAATCTTCCAGTCCCTGTGCGATCCAGACATCACCCTTACATCTCCAGAAAGTGGGGCATCCTTACTTGAACAGGTACATACTGTACATGTGTGGTCTACAACAGTTTCTATACTTTACTTGGAAGGAATATTGCTACAGTTACTGAAGAAAGGCAGTGGTATTTATATAACAAAGCAATTAAAACTCAAATTTTAAAGACAATTATTTCCCATTCTTGGGAGTTCGGTGGATACAACAGTGAAACAATTATAATGTGAGGTAAGTCCTGGATATTTCCGTAACTATAATAGTTGAAATAGATGTGTTGTTAGGTGATGTTCAGATGTTAACATTATGACTCTCTTCCCATAAATTTCTTCCTCCACTGATTGCCTAACCATCAAACCAACCAATCAAAATCCTAATCAGAAAATGAAACCCAATCAAACGTTGCAGCTGGCAAACTCGTTACCTGGTAAGGACCACCTGCTGTCCATCTGTACCACCCTGCTGGACCACGTGAGCAGTGAGGAGCAGACTTTCGGCACCATCCTACAGGCACTGCGCACCATCGTCATGTTGTCTGAGCACGACTATGGTTTCTACACACTCAAAAGGTATCTCTCCCTAAAAAGTTTTCTGATATATTTAAGTCAAACTAAGGAACTCAGTGGGAAAATGCATTACAGAATCAGGAAGACATTCATAATTATTATGTAAATGAATAAAACAAGAAATTGATGACCGAAAATAGTTTCATCAGGTTGGTTAAGTACAATGTATAGGATACAGGAGGATACAGTTTTACACAACCAAGATTTCTCACCTAAGTGAGAAACTCAGCTACGTTTGGGATTGTGTTCTTGCCACAAGAGTGCAATCTACATTGGCTACATATAGCAGAGAGAAGCTCTGAGGAAATTGTCTGATAGACACTGAAACATCAGCACTTAGGAGAGAAATCTTGGTTCTGTAAAAGAAAACTCATGTATCCAAGAAATTGATGATCACAACAATTCTACATTCTAAAATACTTCATGAATGTGTGAAATCTTTCATTTCTTGTTTACACTGTCACAGTCTTGTGGAAAAAAATACTCTTCTAGCTCTTGTCCAGTTTTCATGCAGATTTGCCTGACACATATACATGTACATGTATGTACATTAATATGGTTAAATCAAAGCATGGCTTTTTTGTTAGAAGCTATTAGAAGTATGTTATTAGATGCTAAACTGGGACAAGACTATAGTTTTGGAGGTAAAAGGTGATGGAAAGAGAGGGATAGACTTTACCCTCCAACAACCCACTGATATTGCAGTTAACCTAAACAGTGGGACCTTTATAAGGCCACAGCAAGTAAATTTTACGGATGACATCCTCCACAGACTCCAAATCTAATACGAGCTGGCAAAAAAAAAAACAAGGCTGGCTGAAAAAAACAAGGTTACTACATTTTAAAATTTTGACTCAATCATTGTACAAATGGTTTTGATTCATTGGGAACATCACATATACACAGCCAACATCACATATCACTGCATCAAAGTAAGAAACAAAACATTAAATCAGAGCCTTTTCTTGTCTCCTTTCTTTATAGTTATCTGCCATACACCTTCTGGCTTGGCAACAGACATCTTTGCACATTTTCGGCATGGTGACCACTATCAGAGGGCAACAAAATTTTTTTTTTTTCAAAATCAGGCGAAAATTAATGCGTGCGCTGATGTCATCCATAAAAATTACTTGCTGTGGCCTAATATACATTTACATCAAATTTTGTACATGTACCTCTTCTACCCCCTTCCCCCCACAGTGCCCTGAAGAAAAGCACAGACTGCCTGTACAAGCTGTTGAAGCGGCTGGCCTCCACCTTCAACAAGGACAACGCCGACCACCTGGCCGTCATCTCCACGACCTTTGAACTGCTGCGCGTGCTGCTGACGATCGACGAGGAGATGGGTGGTGCGGTGCGGACCCTGGTCCTGAGCGGGGCGGAGATGAGGGAGCTGCTGAACTGGTCAGACGAGCCGGAGTACCCCCTGCACAGTCTGGAGAAACATCTCACTGTACGTCTTCCTAACGTTGTGTTTACCTCCGAAATAGTTTCATCCGGTTGGCAGAGCATTAGTATGACTACTAGTGAATATAACATGTCAGCTGAAGCCATTGCTTTCATTTTGTTCATGATTTTTGGTAACCAAGTTACTGTTGAGTAGAGGAAGGTTAAGTTCAAAAATGGGAAAATATGGGGGGGGGGGTTCTGCATTACTGCAGAGGACCTTTTGTGTTTGTTGGTGTGTTTGTGATTTTTGCTAGGCTTTTACTTTGGGGACATGAAGCTCAAGTTTGAGAATGGGCCTTTGGTGGGTTGCTATGTTCTTCTTGGCTTGTCCTCGCAAACGAAGATCAGGAAGGTTTTTCACGCTGGCATGACCTCTGGTGGCTGAATAGGCCAATTGCTATGTTACTGCAATGGTATATATACATAAATTGTACATGTACATATTTGCAAGGATATCAGATAAAAGAAACTTGAATGTGAGAAATAACACAACAAATCTGTTTGTTTTCCCAGCATCAGCAAAGCATTTAATCAGAATTGATCTATCACAACATGCAGTACCAAAAGCCTTTAAGCAGTTCTTTACTAGCAATGACAAAAGTGTTGTGGTTTAGATGGTTGCCAAAGGTACATGGCACAGGGTGTATGTATTGTCGTTACAGCCAGTATACATTGTAGATTTCCTGTGTATATTAATCACTATTTGTGCAGTGAGCCCTGCATATCTACATGTAACTCTGTGTGTTATTTTAGCTGTAATTATGCGATCAGATACAATGTAAGTCTGTAAATGGTTGGCTAAGCAAGTCATGCAAGTTGGATAATGGTTGCCCAAAACATCAAAATGCTCAAAGCTTTACATGCAGTATTTTCTGCTCAACATATGAGGGCCATAATAAGCCTCTCTATGGAGCCAACTGGATCTCATGGATCAGTTTAGAGCCTATCCTCAAACATGATGTCCAGGAAGTCACCCACGGTCATCTCCTTGGTTTTGTCCCCGGCCCAGAAGTTCAGCACTTCCATGGTGTTTCCGCTGCCATACTTGTCAGCATGGGTGGTGTAGAAGGTGTAGGCCTTCTTTTTCATCTCGTCAAAGGACATGGTGAAGTTGTGATCCTGAAAAATGGGGAAAGGTTGATAATAGACAGATGCACTTTTGTTGTTCTTGAATGGGGTTTCTCTTTTTAGCGAATGCCCACTGACTGTGTTTTCTGTAAACCCACGGCCGTCGGCCATTATTAAATGTACACGCGGAGGCGACAAAGTTGTCGCAGTGCATATTTTTAAAAAAAAAGGGTACTTTAAAAGCTCGTAAAGCCCGGAAGCTTCTCAGAAATTCAGGGGAGTCCTATATGAACATGTTTGTGGTGGTGGATTTTGCCGGCGTTGCGCGAGGGCCGATATTTTTCAAGGATTAGTGGGCATTTGCTTCAAAGTTAACCCAGAAGTAAAGTGGGTATTTGCTAGGAAGAGAAAAAAAAACGGTAAATTTCGATTTAATTAAGTTCGGCTCGATGGATTCGCTTCAAACTTGATATGAACACGCGGGAGCACACTCTGGACATGACCACACAAAAAAATTAAAGATTTGTGCGACAATTCCTGGGCATTCGTGGGCATTTGCTAAAAAGAGAAACCGCTTGAATGTCTTTCTTGAATCTATTTCTACATAAAGGATTGTCTGGATACCAGCCTTTTTTTTGTAAGCTAAAAAGTATGTTGTAATTGTTTGGATCGGGAGTTACATGTACAGCTACTTAAAATACTGGGTGCATGCATGTGCACCTTAGTGCACCCAAATTTGGAGCTTCTTTCGTAGGTAAAAATTATTGTGTAATGTATAGTTATAGTATACCGCATATTCTTAACATATAAGTGTCAGAAGAAAATAAAACCGTAGTAACTTGGTTTAGAAATGAATCATCATTAGTTTTTGCTGGCATTCTACTTATTTTATGTGGTGCACCCCAAAAATTTTTGTGCACCAAATTTCTTAGGTTGGGTGCGCCAGTGCACCTATTCCCAAAAATGAATTTCGAGCCCTGGATACAGTACTGACTTCAAGGCTCTACAGAGGTCATTGACCTCCACAGAGATGATAGTCCTATGGGTATCAAGAACTAACCTGGTCATGATCAAGGAAGACCTTTGAGAGATCGGCGATCTCTTTGACAACCTCGCCGATCCTGGCTGCCTCGTCTTTTGTCAGCTTCCCATCATTGTTGGCGTCACACTTACTCTTCACTCGCTGAAAAAAAAATGACCCAATGTCCATCAGATGCTCTACCTCTTGCCAAAATCTTGTCAACACTTTACTGTTTCATTCTAGAATCCGCTATGATTTTCTATTCATTTTCTAGGTGTATTCGTCATTCTGATTCTTAAATGATATGTAAATTTACACTACAGTTAAATCATGTATTGTACAATTGGGGGGTCGTGTGGCGCAACGTCAGCGTGCGCGACTCGGAATCAAGAGGTCCCGGGTTCGAGTCCTGACATGCCACCGATCTTGTCCCCACACGACCTTCCCCACTAGACTCAAGTGAAAATGAGTATTGTCTGTCCAGTATTCGTTTCTATGTGTGGAACACAATACCAGCAACAGCTGCCTCTGTTCCGCGTGTATTGAATTGTTGCAATTTCAATAAAATAAAAATTGTACAATTAGGCCTTTAGATTAGATACGTCGATGAAGGTTAGACATCCAGGTAATATAATACGCCAAAAGTAGTTACTCAAGCAACTGGATATGATTTTGAAAACGTCAGACGTTTCAGCTAGTATCCACTAGCTTTCGTCAGTGACTGAGAGACCAGAGGGGATAAGCGAATGGGAAATTTTAGGGAATGTTTATAAGCACAACTTATTGATTGATATGCGAATAAAGTGAAGACAAATTTTTGGAAGTCGAAAAGGAACAAAAGTCAGACAAGTCAAGACAAGATGACGCAAATTAGTTTAGATTAGATGAAAGATTAGATGTTGACATATCAGAAATTTTTTGATCAGTATTGCATTGATGTTAATCCTTGACTGTATAATAGGTAGAATTGATAAACAGCTTGAATGTCTACTATATATACATGTCATTTTACTTACTTATCAAAGTCTGGTTTTGTATAAAACTTTTACCTGCACAAGTTTCTCCGATGGATTTATGCCACACTGTTCTAAGAAAGTTTTGATCTCCGATGACTCGATTGTGCCGTCACCGTTTGGATCCATCTCAGCAAATACCATATTCGGGTCCATGATGAGCTGGAAATAAGAATGATACACCTGTTAGAAGGCGAACAATAAACCAGAGTTCAACCTCCTGGGAACTAGATATAAAATCTTTAGATTAGGCTGAGGCCTCATGTTTCAATTTTCACTCCAAAATTAATGCACAAAATTGAGAATTTTCATGTAGGATAATCTCATAGAAAAAAATTTTCCGGCAGAAATGACTGATGCTGGCAGAAAGACCCAAACCTTGACTATAACCGAGTAGATTGTAAAGAAAATTCTAGCACTGTAATTTTTCTAATCGTCCACAGCGCGAGGGGTTGCAAATTGACTGAGGAAGGCGCGGAGTGAAATCTAGGTCAAACGGGCGGATTACACTTAGCGCGCAAGAATACCCGGAAGTAAGGTTTGGAGCCAAAAGAAATTTTCACCCCAAAAGCACCATTTCTTACACTCTTCATCCATGTTAATGTTTAATGATATTTTATGGCAGTTAATGAGAAATGTCACCTTAAACTTGGACCCTCAAAACCCTTTCGTCACTTTTTTACCACGGACTACCACAGACCCTGGTCGCGGAAGAACTGGGGTGTGCACCGCTAAGGAGAAGCTTTTAAGCCTAAGAAAATGTTGTAGAACCAGTTTGGTTAACATAATAATCAGATCATTAAATTGTGAGTTCATGCGTATCGTCTGTAATTTGGGTCAACAAAGATTATCCATTCTTTTTCACACTCTATTACAGCTGTTACATTTTAGCATTTTTTCGGCGACTTCTGCTCTTCAAAAATAGATATTAGGAGCTCGGACTTGTTCGCTGATCAGGTTGCGTATGCTGATTCTATCGCAAAATAAAGACAAACCGTGGAAAACAGTGGAAACGAACTCAGAACAGTGCGGTCAAAAAACCCTTACCAAACCACAATGCGAGGTGGTTTTTGAAAATCGGATTTAAACCCCTAAAAAATGGTTGATTTGCATTGAATTTTACACTAGGCTAGATAAAAACGTTTTTTCAAAAACCGGTTGAAACCACTAAATAAAAGTCTGGTATAACAGGGTCTAATAGTAAGTAGGGCAGTAGTTTGTTAGGCGTGACCATATGAAGGTAAACATGGTTTGCAAATGTTACCTGTCTACTTCATGATACATCTAACAGAATGGCATTTTCTATAGTATGCAAGAACATTGGAATAACAGAGTGGGAGTAAAAGACCTGAGTGTGATCTATTAGTAAACTACTATCAATGAAAACACATACCTGTGGATAGTTTTGAAGATGTGCTTTCTTCACCTGAGCAAATGCTAGAATGACCTCGGGTTTTGGCAGACAATGCAAGGTACATGTATTTACATATGTAATTGTCATGCTTTTGTTTAAATGTCGCAGAGCAAGTATTCATGGGCAACCACGGGGTCTATGAACAGGTACACAAAATAGTACAGACAAAATCATTGAAGCCTAGCTAGAAAGTCTCGTGAGCATCAGCATGGTGACCTGTACTGTGTAGTACATATAGTACTTGTACATGTATGTTGGGTTTGAGACTGTATGATTTGGATTGTGATGATTTTAAAGTTTAGGTGTAATTATAAGGGCGTAACGTTACGCAACTGGCTTTTGGGGTGAGTCGGCTATGCACGTTGTCTGAACGTACTGCACCTGCACAAATCCCGTTACATGTGTAACTATGTATTGTGTATAGCACTTTGGCAGAACGTCTCATATAAGGTCGTATTCGCGCATGTAAGGTTAACATCCTGTCTGTAGTTTCTATGTTATATGTATGTCAGGGGTCGAAATAGATTTTGGGGCCAACTTGCACTGGTGCAAATGAAAAGAAAAATACTTGCACCGGAAGAAAAATAGTTGCACCCTCCAAAAATACAGAAGTGATGGGAAACATCCGCTGGCAGCGACGTAGATAGTAACCTTCTGTTACTTACAAAAAATGAAGAAAAACTTCATGGATTCTGGTTTTGTTCCTTTCCACTCCAGTTCTTTATTACCTTCGCCAAGAAGGTTATGTTTTCAGGGGCGTTCGTGTATGTGTGTGTGTGTGTGTGTGTCTGTCTGTCTGTCTGTCTGTCAACACGATAACTTGAGAAGGCCTAGATGGATTGTCTTGATACTTGGTAGGTGGGTAGGTCTTGATGAGACCTCAAAATGATTAGATTTTGGACCCCCTAGCGGCTTGTTATGGTACTGCAGCTGAACTTCCGGTTTTGATATCTCATGATCTAGACATGCTATGGTGATGAAATTTAGATGGTAGGTAGCTCTTGTACTGGGAAAAAAGTGACGTGAGTTTAGGCCCCCTAGCGACTTGCTCTGGAACTGCAGGGATAAATTCTTGAAAATATTCAAAAGGGGATAACTCAAGAACCGGTTGACGGATCGTCGTGATTTTTGGTATGTAGGTAGCTTACGTGATGCTTAATATAATTATGTGACAATTATGCAAATATGGATGTAATTTGCATAATTTATGGGGAAATTCTATAAATCAGCTGCATTCCATAATAGGACAATTGAAGCTTGTGACATTGGTAATTGACAACGAGAGAAACACAGGAAGATGTTGATTATGTTAATAATGACTTAATTTGCATAATTAATGAGAAAATTTTATAATTATGTAATGATAACTGCCTGGAATTTCATACTTGTGGTATTTGAAAGTTAAATTGAGGTGAACATCATTAAACATAATTTATTCAAATCAGGACCTCATTTGCATAATTTATGAGGAAATGCTAGAATGCATTGTTTGTTAATATAAGACTGTCTTTTGGTTGAGATTATGATAAAATGATATAATTTATAAAAATTAGGTTCCTATTTGTTAAATCAGGGGGGAATAATCTAATCTAAACTTTGTCAGTCATAAAGATTAACATCATTTGGCGAAGGTATGAGATCGGGGAACTCTAGTTAATTAATATTATTGGGTAATTCTACAGGTAGTAACAGTGGATAAAGCAAACTTGCACCATGGTGCAAGCAGGCAAAAAATTAGTTGCACGACACCAAATTTACTTGCACCAAGTTGCACACGGAGGGTTATTTCGACCCCTGTATGTCGAAAAACATATTGTGTGCAAACATCCAACAATCTTGAACAAGAATTCGGAGATTTCATACCTCCATGAAATATGTAGAGTTTATGTAAATTTTTTGGGGGGGATTTTTCTCCTTTAAAAATAAGATCATGATTACCATAATCTAGTTAATTTTATGGTTTTCTAAACTCAAATTATAGTATTTTTATTGTGAAATTCCTGTATCTTTTTGCAATATTTCAAGTCAACATGTCCTCATCAGGTATAAAAAGTAATTTTTTATTGTTATTATTCTTGGTAACCAAGTTTCTGTTGGGTAGACGAAGGTTAAGTTCAAAATGGGAAAATATGGGGAGGGGGTCTGCATTTACTGCAGAGGACCTTTTGTGTTTGTTGGAGTCTTTGTGATTTTTGCTAGGCTTTTACTTTGGGGACATGAAGCTCAAGTTTGAGAATGGGCCTTATTGTGGGTTGCTATGTTACTGCAATGGTATATATACATTGTACAGGTACATATTTGCAAGGATGTCAGATAAAAGAAACTTGAATGTGAGAAATAACACAACAAATTTTGTTTTTCCAGCATCAGCAAAGCATTTAATCAGAATTAGTCCATCACAACATGCAGTACCAAAAGCTTTATTAATCAGTTCTTTACTAGCAATGACAACAGTGTAAACAGTTATGGTTTAGATGGTTACCAAAGGTACATGTGTACATGGCATTCACAACACAGGGTGTATGTGCCGTCATTACAGCTAGTGTAGATTTCCTGTGTATATTAATCACTATTTGTGGAGTAAGCCCCACATATCTACATGTAGCTCCATGTGTTATTTTAGCTATAATGTGTTCATGCCCCATGTATTCTAAGTCTGACAGTCAAGTCTAAGCAAGTCGGAGAATGGTTGCCCAAAACATCAAAGTGCTCAAAAGCTTTTCATGCAGTGATTTCTGCTCGACATATGAGAGCCATACATGTAAGTCTCTCTATGGAGCCAACTTGATCTCATGGATCAGTTTAGAACCTATCCTCAAACATGATGTCCAGGAAGTCACCCACGGTCATCTCCTTGGTTTTGTCCCCGGCCCAGAAGTTCAGCACTTCCATGGTGTTTCCCCCGCCATACTTGTCGGCATGGGTGGTGTAGAAGGTGTAGGCAACCTTTTTCATCTCATTGAAGGACATCTTGGAGTTGTGATCCTGAAAAATGGGGAAAGGTCATGATACATGTACGTACTCTATTTTCACTGGAAGAATTGTCTAGATACCAGCCTGTTTACAAATGTAGTTTTACTAAAAAATAGGTTGTACTTGCTTGGATTGGGAGTTTGTATGTACATGTACACAGGGCTTGAAATTCATTTTTGAGAATAGGTGCACTGGTGCACCCAATCCAAAAAAAATTGAATATAAAATGAAGTAAGTAGAATGTCAGCAAATCTAATTATGTTTCATTTTAAAATTAATTATGTTTCATTTTATTATTTTTCTGACACTTAGATATGCTTCATGCTACTATACATTTAACATCTTTACAATCATACATCTGCACTGGTGCACCCACAGAAAAAAATTGGGTGCACAGCTCCAAATTTGGGTGCACCAAGGTGCACATGCACCCAGTATTTTGAGCCCTGTGTACAGCTACAGTACTGACTTCAAGCAGGGCCCGCATGCCCTTTTCCGTAGAGCGTAATCGGCCGTTTTAATTCTACGTAGAGCATAGACGGACCGCTCTAATTCAACGTAGAGCGTATACGCGTAATTGGCTCATTTTGTGTAGACCGTATTCGCCATTTTAATTCTACGTAATGCGTTGTAGCCACTCTGAATTTATCGTAAAGTGTAATCGAGAAGTTTCCGAATTCAGCGTAGAGCGTTGTCGGGACCCCCCCCCCCTTCAAGGCTCTGCAGAGGTCATTGACCTCCTTCACAGAGACGATAGTCCTGGGTATCACAAGAACTAACCTTGTCAGCTTCTTGGAAGATCTTTGAGAGATCGGCGATCTCTTTGATAACCTTGCCAATCCTGGCTGCTTCGTCTCTCGTCAGCTTCCCATCATTGTTGGCATCACACTTACTCGTCACTCGCTGAAAATATGACCCAACATCAGTTAGACGCTCAACCCTTAAGATATTGCCAAAATCTTGCCAACCTTTTACATGTACTGTTTCATTCTAGGATCAGCTGCGATTTGCCAATTCATTTTTTTAAGTCTATGCTTCATTCTGGTTCTTCAGTGATAAATAAATTTACAGTAACTTTAGTCATGTATTGTACAACATGTCTTTAGATAGCTTTAAACAATGTTTAGAGTTGGATGTACAAGGATTAGGTGTAACAAGTTTACCTGCACAAATTTCTCCGATGGATGTATGCCGCAGTTACTTAAGTAAGCGGCGATCTCACTCGACTCGAGTGTACCGTTGCCATTCTTGTCCATCTCAGCAAATACCTGGTCTGGGTTCTTAGCCATGATACAAGTATGAGATTCACCTGTTAGAAGACAAACAATAAACCGTTTCAAATTCCCAGGAACTACATGCAGATATAGCTTGCATTAATGAGTTAATCATAGAATTGTATCCTGCTATTTCACCATCTTTTATGTTTTGTACATTAGATGAGACCTCAAAATTATTTTAGATAGGCGAACGCAAAAAACCAACTGACCACAATACTCCGTCCAGAGGTCATGACGTCCTTCACGGAGTAACTAGAGTTCCACAATCTCATACCTTCACCAATTGATGTTAACGTTAGTTTAAAGATTGACGAATTATCAATGTTGGTTATGCAAAATGCAATCATTTGTTTGCATGAGTTATATTGAGGCCGTGGGGTAGAGGGGTAAAGGCAGGGGTCGTGCTGAAGGGCGAGGTCATGGGGCAGAGGAAGAGGCCGTGGGGCGTGGGTCAAGCAGCAAGGGGACGTGGTGCAGGGCATGCTCAGGGGAATACTGTTCCCAATCTGCAAAGTATAAACTTCATGTAGAATTGTCACCTATGACTGCTTGTTCTTTTCTGTTTTTTTAGGGTTTTTGAGCATTTTGAAGCTTGTTAGCCTAAGGAGACACGTGTATTGTTGTAGAACCAGTTTGGCTATGATAATCAAATTGTGAGTTCAAGCGTATCGATCGTAACTCGTGTCAACAAAGATATCCATTCTTTTTCACACTCTATTCCAGATGTTACATTTTAGTGTGAAACATTATCCACTTGCTTTGCGAATGTTACCTTAGTTTCTAGTTCAGAATATGCATTTAACAGAATATGCAAGGACATTGCCAGGAAAGACACACACAATGGAAAGTCGTGAATGTAAATTAAAAGAAAAATGTGCTGTAAATAATTTAGTCTTCATAAATCAGTAACTGTTAGTCTTTCAAACTAATATACCTTAAGTGCATTAGTTAACAACGTTGTTACATTGACAATGACACGAGCATAACAGAAAATACATGCACAGGCTTCTTAGCATATCATTAGCATATACTTTAGGAAAACCTTCGCGAAACCCTTTCTCTTTAGGCCTAACAGGAAGGGTTTCAGGCCCCCCGCTGAAGGGTATCAAAACCACGGTGGAGGTGGTTTTCGGAAATGTTTCGTAGAAGCCAAAAAAATGCCGTTTTTTCCCCCTTTAGACTGGGAACGGTTAGCCTATCGGAAACGTTTTTCCACCCTGAAACCACTTAAGCATTTCTAGTCTAAAATGAGCCTAACTCATGGTTCGCACCAGCAGTATATGTATTGTACTAGTATACAACAGTAATTAGTCCAGGCAAGCCGCCCAAAATGTTGATGTTGATTTATAGAAGGTTTATGTCTAGGTAATTTAAACAATGTCTAGAGCTAGAAGTTCAAGGGTTAGGTGTAACAAGTCGATCGGTGTAATATAGCCAGCTGCCGCCGCGCCGTGTGCCTGCGGAGCTGGTGTGTTACGCCGAAAGGCGGTTATACCGGCTATACTGATACAGATACAGAATTTGTTCTGTTCTATGTTCTATGTGTGCCTGAGTTAAGCTTTTAGTATCCAGGAACACTTGAATCACTGACATGAGTGTGATCTACTTGTAAAATAAAGTAAAAGTTAAGTAAACATACCTGTGGGTTACTGTAGTTCTGAAGATGTGCACGCGTTTGCTACACCTTGAGGGCTTGAGCAAAAGTATTTTTATTTTTTTTTTTTTTATTTTTTATTTTTATTCGTTTAACTAAGAGATGTACATACAGTAAAAAAGAAAAACAGTGTGGCAAAGCCCCCTCTTACTACATATATACTAATACACAGAATAAATATTTGTACTGTGACATTTTACGAAGAATGTTTGTCTCGAAAAATCATGAAAATAATGCCTTACAGAAATGAGGTTTCTTATTCAAGGCTGTACTCTTATAGATGTCATATTTTGCACAAAGTAAACAGTGGTTCAGGTATCTATTTTTTCCATCTTTTCAATTTATACCATACAATATAACAATTTTTGTTAGTGCGATATGTTCAGAAAAAGTGTCGAGCCACCATAGGCGAAAGTCATTCCAAAATTTAGTAACATAACTACAATCCACAAATAAGTGACTTAGATCTTGTTTACTATCGCAAAAAGGACATTTGTCTGAGTCTTTAACTCTAATTTTCTTTAAATAACAATTTGTCGGCAAAAATCTGTGTATTATCTTGTACTGAAAATACTGTAATTTAACATTCTTAGTACATAATATGAACGGTAGTAAATACACATTTTTTAAGTTGTTTTCATGTTCAAAAGTTTTTAACAATTCGTCTTGGCCCGTTGGGGGTTCAAATGTTTGTTTTAAATACATGTCATACAACTGCTTACAAGAAAAAGTATGTGAAGCGATGGTTTCTTCCACCGAGTTATCAAGCTGATCCTTCTTTACTGTATCTTTCCAAACATTAGGAATAGCTGATTTCAGGCTAGAATATCTAAGCATATCCACAGGTGTAAAAGTTATTTCATATTTCTGAGCCAGCTCACCTAATGTCAGGAAGTTGAGCAAAAGTATGCTAGTAATGACCTGGGTGGGGCAGACAATGCAATATATTCAAATGTCTGCTTTTGTTCTAATGTCGCAGAACACGGTATTCATGGGCAACCATGGGGTCTATGACGCAGGTACACAAAATAGTACGGACAAAATCATAGAAGCCTGGCTAGAAAGTCTCATGTGAGCGTCAGCCAGATGTAAATTGTGCTGTGTGGTATAGCAGTACATGTGTGTTGGGTTTGAGACTGTATGATTTGGATTGTGATGATTTTAAAGTTGAGGTGTAAGGGCGCAATGTTACGCAACTTGCTTTTGGGGTGAGTCGGCAGTTGGCAGTACGTTGGCAGTACGTACTGCACCTGCGCAAATCCCGTAATTTATTGTGTATAGCACTTCGGCAGAACGTCTCATATAAGGTCGTATTCGCACATGTAAGATTAACATCCTGTCTGTAGTTTCAGTAATCTATATTATGTTATGTCAAAAACATATCGTGTGCAACAGGCAAAATTCTGGTGCAACGTTGACCAAACATCCAACAACAATCTTGAAAAATCTGGGTTTTGCGCAGGCGCAGACGCGCAGTACGTTTTGCTGACGTGCTAGACCGGCTGCAGTTCATTTGACCTCTGCACGGTGGCATTTCAAAGCGCCGACAGAATTTTTTGTTTTTGAAAATCCACATTTTGTGAGTGTGTCACAACATGAAATTACTGAAACTCCCAACACAGTGTCCTCTGCCCTGTTTATTTTATCATACATTCAAGCTTTCTGATGATATCATGCATTTTGCTAATTTTTAGAAAAAAATGAACATATAAGCAAGGTTACATTTCAATACTTGTTTGGACCTACTTAAGGCAGCCCAGGTGCTCAACTAATGAATGTAATTGTTTAAGTAACGATTAAAAAAAGCAAATACTAATTACGAGCTAATTTTCATAATTTATGAGGAAATTCTATAGCATAGCTGCATTCCATGAGAGGACTTTCAAACATGTGAAAGTGAAAGTGAAAGTGATCTCGATCCAGTTTAGCTCATTGAAGAGCTAATCTTCCACTGGTCGTGACAGAGAAGACAGACGCTATATACAGTATTTACAGGTTCATTGTACCGGGGAAATTCCCCTAGCTCTTTTCGACAAGCACAATGAACAGTGGACCACAGTTAACGTCCCGTCTGAAGGACTGCGACCCTAAACAGTAGCGTGCATGTCAGGTGAGCGACATCAGCCGGGATTCGAACTCCCAACCTCTAAGACTTAGTCCAGAGGCAGGATCGCTAACCACTGGACTACGCACGCTACTCACGCACATGTGTTGCATGTGCATGTACATTGTAACTAAAAAAGAAAGGAACATCATTTTATAGATTTCAATTATGCAAATTCTCCCATGGATGAATTTTGAAAAAAAAAATGTGTAAAATGTGTTCACTGCACTGACCTGTGACCTTGTACTTCTTAGGAGTGCTGTAAGGAGGATGAGAGCCTAGAGAGCCTGATGGAGGCTACCGTTAACCTCCGACAGTCCATACAGGCTTCTGAGGAACAGGAACTGCCCAAAGGTACATGAGCAGACACTCTACCTGTGGTAGAAAGCAACTGGCTAGAAGAATACACAATATGCACCTAAAAATGTGGTAGTACATGTAGTAGTAGTAGTAGTAGTAGTAAATGGTTTATTGATAAACAAATAACAAATCGGCCTTGCAGCAATAGCTGAATTGCGCCGAAGTTAACATCCATCAAGTACAGTAAAATCAATAATATTAAAAAAAGTACATATTATTATACATCTATATACAAAGTTCAAATATTATCAATGTCATTAACAATACTGCATATATGTGGTTGGAGATCAGTACAATTACAAAAAACAGCGTTTAACTTATTAGAGTCCTTACAAGAAAGGCTGCTCTTGAACAGATCATGACAGTTCAATTTTACAGTCCATTGAGGAGTTTAGCCAACATTGGCTTCGCACTCAAATGTGTGCATTTGAACTGTCTTCTGTATGTAGCATACAATGTCATGTGACTGTGCATTTAGACACATCAGACAGTTTTCCCCTCCTTGGTAAATCTATTAATGTGGGCCAGGAGGTCAAGGGACAAGGTAGCCTGAGTGTCAGCCTTAGCTTTTGTCCGCTCCCCAAGATCCGTTGGCGGGAGTGAACGAAATCTAACAAGGCTGACACTCAGGCTAGGGACAAAATAGGTAGGTAGATAACCAGAAAAAGAAGAACTTTTTGCAAAATTTGAATGGATTCCTTATTACATGGGATTGTACCACTGATTAGATGGAGCTAGATGCAAATATACAAACTTGGGAACTAAAAGTAACCGTTTACTGATCAAAATAGATTGGTTCTAAATAAATCACAAAATGTTTTTGTTGATGACACAAACAGAGACAGAGGAGCCAGCACTGCCGTCTCCAGAACAGATCACTGACCAGTTTAACTCCCGCGCTATCTACCTGGTGGGAGATGAGTACGACGAGCGCTCCGTCAGCCCGACCTTCTGGCTGTCCTCTCCTCCACCTGAAGATGCTGATATAGAAGCTGACATGGTAAAAAACACTTCTGTTGTATCCCAACACTTAATTTAGCTTGAATGTGTACTCAGTGTCTTAGGTTTTGTGTTCAAATCCTCGTCACTGACTCTACCTTCTTCTTCTCTTCTTCTTGAGGATTCAGGTAAAATAATTTTTTGTTTTAATTATTGTTTATTTGCAGTTTGCGCATAAAACAACAATATGTGATAATTAACAGTTATGAATAATGTGCGGGGGCAACCCAAGAAGCCTAGTGGCTTATCTGTATCTGTATCTGTATAGCCAGTATAACCGCCTTTCGGCGTAACACACCAGCTTCGCAGGAATGTGGCGTGGCGGCAGCTGGCTATGTTACACCGATTGACTTATTGAAGGGGTTACCCGGAAATACCATTTCCTAAATTACTTTTTACAACATGTACATGTATTATCAATTTAGGAGTAAACGAATATAAATCAAACTAGATACACAAGAAAATAAAGTTAGCAAAACAGATTAACTAGCTGACTAATTAATTGATAAAGTAAGACAATGTAAAGTATTCACTCATATGCAGACAACATGTATCACTATGTAGATAAGCAGGTATAGAACCTAGATGAGGTAGGCAAAATTCAGTTGTAAGTGTAGCTACATGTAGGTACAATACTCATTTTACTTGGGTAGAGTGAATATTACTTTGTATGACTATGAAGTGTTTTTCCAAGAACACAACATTAGAACCTTTTGCTTCAATGACCCTATTCACAAGGCACCATGGAGACACACATAGTTTTTTAAGTATTCTTTAAATTTCTTCTTGCAGGTGAAGTGTGATCTGATCGACATGTCCCAGAAGTTCCTGAATGATTTTGACGTGAAGGCAGAGTTAGAGAAGGACATCACCACTTCCACAGGAGCACCCACCCCTCCCGGCAAGGCTGCCAGAAAAAGGTACCGGAATTCACTTTTCCTGTGAGCACGCAGACACGCCGTAGCATTTTAAGTGCATGTAAAACTTTTTCTGCGTGTGGGCTGCGGGTTCATACAAAAACGTACGGACAAAAAACATGTATGGCAGGTTGTGACCAAGGCTTAAAACAGTAATGATTATATAAGGTGTTAACTTTGTGCCTTCCTCTTTCAGACTGAACAAACCAAGAGTGGAGCCGATGGTGCCCTGGGGAGGCAGAGGACCAATACAACGGCATGGAAATGGTACTTCATATTAACCTTTAACATGCTAAAGTACACATGTATTTGGTACCAACTGTATGATAGCAGCAGAAGGTTAAAATCCCTTCTTGTATTGTTGATAGTTCATTTTTTTTTTTAAATACTCGCAAGTAGTTTCTCCAATTTTGATAGCTCATTCAGCAGATTATAGGATTCCTACTTCTATGTTCTGGAGTTGGAAGGCAAGCTTGTACAGGTGTGATTGTTCAATGTGAAAGAATGAACATCATTGCTATCATTGAATATCAATGCCAAGCTTGTATGAGCTTCAATGCCGTGCTATTGGATTTTACATTGTAGATGCTACATATTGTATTTATAATATTTGGGTTAAACTTTACATGTTTATGAATTTATGACATCATTAACCCTCTCCCTGCCAAGGTGG